CAGAAAGAAATACAAATATAATCAAATTATTTGCTTTATAACTTCACTCACTCAGTTATCATATTGATCGGTAAATTCAATTACTACTTTACTTTTCCGATTTAATAATCCAAGAGCTCTCGCATTGGTAATACCTTTACTATTCTAAGTTTAGTTGGTATTTCCAAGTCAATGGTGTCTTTATCACACTTTTTAATGATCATTTGTATATCATCCTTAGTTCTCATTGCAATTAAAACTGTTTTAATAACTGTCTGAACAAAGAGGCCAAGTTTTGTGACAATTACTAAATTTTTTCTTAATTTCTGTCTGTCAGTTGCCTTTAAATGCATGTGAAGCAATTGTTTCCACACGTCCTCAGTTATGAATTCATCTAACTCACTATATGGTTCTTTTACCCTATTAATTAATTAGTCAAGTAGAATTAATAATAATAGTAATAATAATAATAATAATTAAATAATTTATAATGTTTTATCATATTATCATTACAAACCTTTCGTGTGTTGTTTTAAATTCATTTGCAAGTTTTAAAATGGCTACATGAAACTTATAGCGATTGATATTAAACCATCCACCTACATCTTTAACTAAAGTTCCTATCCTCAGGTCAGTTTTGGCGATTTTACATACTCAGACAATAAGCTCTTCGTATAATGCTATTGTATTATTTCTAGTTCGAAGGAAAAGTGCTTTACATTCTTATTGTAATTGAAATTTAATATGCTAATTATAAAATAAATATTAATATGATTTTTATTTTTTTTTGTTTTTTTTTTTTGAATTTTTATGAAAAATCAACATTGTTTTTATTACCTGATTAATTTCTGCAGGTATTGATACATATTCATAGGAAAATCATTATGTTAAAGCATATGTAGATGTCGAAACCATATCAGATTCTTTATTGATCCTATTTGATATTTCATCTCTGATATTTATTGCTAAATCTAAAATTCTTTTGTGGTGAGCTAACCAATAAGCAATTTCAAACTCATTAGACATATTGTGAAATTGTGCTGGTTGCTTTGAATGTAAGTCAGCTTTGATTAAAATATTCCTAATTTGCTGTTATGTTTCTTCATAATCTTGGGTTGATCGCATTTCCCCAGAAAAATATAAAATCATCGATGATTCTGTAGAATAAAGTGCAATTGATATATGATTGTTATTGGGTAATGATACAATGGAAAAGTTATCCTGTTGATTTTAATCCATAGTTTCATCATCTGATAAAACAAATGTAGTTGAACTTGCAGTTTCAATATCACTTAATAGAAAATCTAGTGATATTTTCTGACCAATTTTTTGTTTTTGATTTTTTTTTCGTGTTATTTTTGCAGGATTTATTTTTGTATCACTCTCGTAGGAGTCATACTTGAATCTGATGATATCTTCTGACTGTTTTTTGTTTTGATTTGTTTTTTGTATTGCTTTCACAGGAGTCGTACTTAAATTTGCTTTTTGTATTTGTGTATTTCTCACTGAAGCCTTTTTCGCCAGAATAGTTTCATTGTTTAAAGCTGTAAGCAAGATTATATGTAGTATTGATTAAAAACATAATGCTATAACAGAAACAAATATTAATGAATTTTTGTAACATATCCTCGTTCTCGTCAAACGGTTTCAATTCTATATTATAATAATAAAGTTTTAAATAAATAGATAATATTTATTTAAAAAATTTTCAACTTACCAAATTTTCGTTTAGCCATATTGAAGTACAAACGAAAATTAGAAAAAGAAATTTGTTTAAATTTGAAAATAATGATCAATTAAATAAGAAAAAAAAATAATTAAAGAATTATCTGGATAATTTAATCAATTAATCACAAAAGACTTTAAACATTCTAATTTTAAATTAATCAATCATAAAAGTCTTAAAAGTCTTAAAAAGTATTTATATCATGATTTTACATCAATCAATCGCAAAAGTCTTAAAAAGTCTTTACATCAATCAATCGCAAAAAGTCTTTTATATTCTAAATTGGTTAATATTTCCTAATTTGGAAATCATTACCGTAAATAAAGAAAATTCTAATAATTACAAATTACATAAGCAATCAATATTTTTTTTATTTACAGTTTATTTAATATCTATGTAGTCTATTTATATTTTATTTAATCAGTTTTAATAAAAAGTTTAATTATTATACTATAAAAGCATACGTATCATTTTTCATTTTAAATCAATTGTTTTACTCAAAAAAAAAAATAATGAAACACCCAAGAAGAATTTCTTATACATATTATGCATCGATCCCGAAGTTACATGTTAAATCATCTAAAAAGATATAAAATGAAGAAGATAATGAATCTTTAATATCTTCTAATAATTCTTCAGAACATATTGATAATGTAGAAGGAGTCTTATATGATAATATTTTGGAATATATTAATACAGAAAGTGTTACTTTGACAGAAGACGTCTCTTATGATAATGTTTCAGAATAAATTAATACAGAAAGTGTTACTTTGACTAACGAAGAAGAACTGGAGGTAGAGAGTTCCAACAGTAATATCTCATCAGAAATAACGATAAATGAGGTCAATTAATATGTTTTAATATTATAAATCATAACGGATGTTATAGAAAATTTCAGAAATCCTAATAATATATATTTTATAATTTCAAGGATTTTGATGAGCAAATGCAGGACTACTAACTTCCATATAAACTGTTACTTAATACTGAAGAAGAAGAATTTTTCGAAGATTATGATCTGTTAGAAGAAGAGTCTTCTGATTTTAAAGGTTTCGATGGGGAATATGGTCCATATTTTCCTAATTTTACATTAGCGATGCTCTTTATCTGGATTACCAAACATATGATATGTGGGTATTATTTTGAAAGAATGAGTTTAAAATAATTAACATACTAATATAACGATTTATTCACATAGCAACCTCTGCATATGAAGATCTCTTTAAGATTCTCACTCATTATGAATATTGAAAAGAGCAAATATTCACCAGATTTGTAAATAGCAAGATAGACTACTATTAATTAAAGTACGCAAACATGAAGTACCCCTTTGTATGCAACGAATACCATTTACATATGAATCTACTAAAAAAGCATTTACTATTTCTCCGATAATATATTTGAAATGTATTTTAAATAATCCAGTACTTATGCCAAAGATGTACTTCAGACCCAGAGTAGTTACAGATGAATGATGAGAATTTTGGCATGGTGAACTCTGGCAAGATTCACCAATGTTTGGAGAACATGAAATAGAAA